AAACCATACCAATCTTAACCATTCAATATTTTCTCACCTCTTTAAAATAAAATTTTATCAATAAACTCTATAAGAATATACTAAACAGAAAAAAAAATTACCCTCTCTATCGTTGATACTGCGTGTAAAAGTGGAAAAAAACAAGTCTGGACTAACAAGAAAAAAATTTGTGGAATAGATAAACAAGTGTTGTTAGAATAGATAATAGATAGGTGTTTAGGTGACACAGATAGATGAATGACTAGACAGACAGATAGCAAGCCTAGATGGTTAGATAGGTGAATAGATGACTGACTAAATGGTTGAACAGAAATTTTATTAAGTGAAAAAAAGAAAGAAGAAGAAGAAGAAGGAGAGAAAAGTTGGATGTAAATGTGGCTTTTAATGCAATATTATATTGTATCCATGTAATTTACTGTATACTGTGAGTTATCAGTTTCAGTTGGTTATTTGTAAACGAAGAAAAAGATGTATTAAAGTTCCTGTTTTTTTTTTTCTTTTTTCCGTCTTCTAAATGTATCCACATATGTTTATTTTTTAATGCTTTTGTACGTAGATGTTAAAATGATGAGAAAAAAAAAGTAACAGTATCAATAAAGACTGTCAAAGAGATGAAATTTGAGCTGATAACAAACAGAACAACGATCAATTTGTCGTCTGCTTGTTGTTGACAGTGATAAAAAATGTGATGTTATTTAGTTGATGAGTATAAAATAAGTAACAAGTGATGATCTATTCATTTCTTGTTATTTCAAATTATTTTGATGAAATGGTGAAGTGAAATGAAAGAGGAAAAGAAGAAAAAACAGTTGGAATAGAGAACAGTAAATAAGCTTACTTCATCAGCATCTCTGTCGTCGGCTTGTTCAACAGAAACTTGTGGACGAGCCTAAACAATTTAGAAGTGAAAATTGACGTTTGAAGAAACAGTTATTGAACAAAAACGACAACAAAAAAAAGTGAAAAATTAATTTAAAATTGTCCAGAAAGTTTGAATAAAACTATTATATGTTTAAAGAATCGATTTTTTCTCAATTATTTATTTCTGATCATTAATTATATGCAACTTTCTCTGTTCTTTTTCCCACTTCTAATTATTTTAGTTCAAATATAACAAAATCGGCAATGAACAAGCGGATAACTGTAGTTGACAGGTTAAAAAAACTTTTTTTTTTGTTATTTGAAAACAGTGTAATATCAACAAAAAAAAAAAAAAAAA